ATGATTATGGAAAACAGGAAAGGTTCTGTAGGACTGGAGAAGGGCAAATGATGTCCCAACTTTTTTTTTCCAATTTATTTATTTATTTTTATTTTTCAACATTTACTTCCACAAGATTTTGAGTTCCAAATTTTCTCCCCATTCCTCCCCTCCCCCCACTCCATGATGGCCTGCATTCTGATTCCTCCTTCACCCAATCTGTTCTCCCTTCTGTTACTGCACGTACCCCCCCCCCAATCCCCTTCCCTTTTGTATTTTCCTGTGGGGCAAGATAGATTTAATACTCCTTTGCTTATGTATCTTATTTCCCAATTACACACAGAAACAATTTCTAACATTCGTTTCTAAAACTTTTGAGCTCCAAATTCTCTCACTTCTTCCCTCCCCACCCACACTCGTTGAGAAGGCAAGCAATTCGACATAGGCTATACATGCGCAGTCACGTAAAACACTTCCATAAGAGTCATGTTGTGAAAGACTATATTTCCCTCCATCCTATCTGAGCCCCCATTTATTCTATTCTCTCTTTTGACTCTGTCCTTCCTCAAAAGTGTTTTCTTCTATTTACCCCCTCCCCCAATCTGCCCTTCCTTCTATCACCCCTCCCTCTCTTATCTCCTTCCCCCCCTACTTTCCTATAGGGTAAGATAGATTTCCATACCCAATTGGGTGTATATGTTATTCCCTCCTTAAGCCAAATCCAATAAGAGTAAAGTTCACTCATTCCTTCTCACCTCCCCACTCTTCCCCTCCATTGTAAAAGTTTTTTCTTGACTCTTATGTGAGATAATTTACCCCATTGTACCTCTCCCTTTCTCCTTCTCCCAGTATGTTCCTCTCTCACCCCTTAATTTTCTTTTTTAGATATCATCCCTTCATCTTCAACTCACCCTGTGCCCTCTGTCTATATATATATATATATATTCCCTCCAACTACCCTAATAATGAGGAAGGTCTCATGAGTTACAAATATCATCTTTCCATGTAGGAATGTAAATAGTTCAACTTTAATAAAGTCTCCTATGATTTCTTTTTTCCTGTTTACCCATGTTTCTCTTGAGTCTTGTATTTGAAAGTCAGTTTTTCTATTTAGCTCTGGCTTCTCAAGAATGCATTAAATTCCTCTACATCATTGAAAGTCAATTTTTTCCACTCATTGATTACACTCAATTTTGCTGGATAGGCGATTCTTGGTTTTAATCCTAGCTCCTTTGACCTCCAGAATATCATATTCCAAGCTCTCCGATCCCTTAATGTAGGAGCTGCTAAATCTTGTGTTAACCTGATTGTGTTTCCACAATACTTGAATTGTTTCTCTCTGCCTGCTTGCAGTATTTTCTCCTTGATCTGGGAACTCTGGAATTGGGCTATAATAATCCTAGGAGTTTTCCTTTGGGGATCTCTTTCAGGCGGTGATCGGTAGATTCTTTCAATTTCTGTTTTACCTTCTGGTTCTAGAATATCAGGGCAGTTTTCCTTGATAATTTCTTGAAAGATGATGTCTAGGCTCTTTTTGTGATCATGGATTTCAGATAGTCCAATAATTTTAAAATTATCTCTCATGGATCTATTTTCCAGGTCAGTTGTTTTTCCAATGAGATATTTCACATTGTCTTCTATTTTTTCATTTTTTTGATTTTTGTTTTATAATTTCTTGATTTCTCATAGAGTTATTAGCTTCTATTTGCTCTACTTTAATTTTTAAGGAATTATTTTCCTCAGTGAACTTTTGGACTTCTTTTTCCATTTGGCCAGTTCTGCTTTTTAAGGCATTCTTCCCCTCATTGGCTTTTTGGACCTCTTTTGTCATTTGGGCTAGTCTTACTTTCTTAAGCTTTTTTTTTGTGTTTCCTTTAGCAAGTTGTTGACTCATTTTTTATGATTTTCTTGTATCACTCTCATTTCTCTTCCCAATTTTTCCTTTACTTGTCTTACTTGATTTTCAAAATATTTTTTGAGCTCTTCTATGTCCTGAGACCAATTCATATTCTTCTTGGGGGCTTTGGCTGTAGGAGCTTTGACTTTGTTGTCTTCTTCTCATTGTATGTTTTGATCTTCCTTGTCACCAAAGTAAGATTCTGTAGTCCAAGTTTTTTCCTCTGTTTGCCCATCATCCCAGTCAATTGCTTGACTTTTAAACTCTTTGTTAGGGTAGGGCTTTGCTTCTAGTGTCGAGGGTGTACTGTCCCAAGCTTCAGGGGTTTTGTGCAGCTATTTTCAGAGATACTTCTAGGCGCCTGTAAGTTTTCAGTTCTTCAAGGTGGTATGTTCTTTTTTTTGGCTATGCAGTGCGGTTAAGTGACTTGCCCAGGGTCACACAGCTAGTAAGTGTTATGTATCTGAGGCCAGATTTGAACTCAGCTCCTCCTGAATCCAGGACCGGTGCTCCATCCACTGCGCCACCTAGCTGCCCCTAAGGTGGTATGTTCTAAGGAGAGGTGTTTACTCCTCTCCTGGCCTGTGCTCTGGTCTGTGAGTGACCACAAGCAGTCTTTTCTACCCTAGAATTGAGAGGCAGGTTATCTCTCCACTGCTGCCATGAGCTCTGCTATGCCAGTGCTCCTCCTTGCCCCAGGTCTGCCATCCAGGACTCGGACCCAGATCCAAGCATAGGCAAAGCAAGAGAATTCTGCCTTAGTGCTATCAAAGAGATGCCTGCAATCCTTCTGATCAGCTGCTGTGTCCCCCAATTGTCTGTGGGCTGAGAGCTCTGGAAGCAGCCACCACCCCAGGGCTGTGCAAGGACCAGGGTGGACCACGTTCCTCTCTCACTCAGGTCTGACAGACCTTTCCCATGGACCTTTTAAGTTGTCTTTGGCATTTGTGGGTTGAGAGGTCTGGAAACTGCCACAGCTCCCCTTGATTCAGTACCCCGAGGCCTGCTCCAGGTTCACTGAGGCCTGGTCTTTGCTTGCGCTGCCCATGCTGAATTGCTCTCCTCTCCCAGCCTGGTGCAACAGATCTTTCTAATTAACCATCCAGGTTGTCTTGGGCTGGAAATTTGTTTTACTCTGTCTTTTTGTGGATTCTGCTGTTCTAGAATTTATTTAGAGTCATTTTTTATAAGTATTTTGAGGGGTTTAGGGGAGAGCTCAAGCAAGTGCCTGCTTTTACTCCACCATCTTGGCTGTGCCTCTGATGTCCCAACTTTTAAGCAAGAAATAGACTGTAATCTTCAAATTTATAGACTACTGAACTTGACTTTTGTTCTGGTAAAAAAATGTCAAACATAATTAAAATGGTGGTCAACGAACATGGAAAAGGAAGCAATGACCACAGAGAGAGGATGGCTTCATCAGAATCAAGTCATGCTGTAATAACTTTGTTTCCATTTCTTGAAAGGATTACTAGACTAATAGATTACAGGAATTGAAAGGATGCAGTACACTCAGATTTTTGCAAAATAGTTAACAAAATCTCAAATACTATTTTTGTACATCAGATGGAGAGATGTAGGTTAGACAATAGTATCATCAGGTCATTTGGGAGCCAGTTGAATGACTTGACTCAAGGAGTAATCTTTAATAGGTTGATGCCGTTTTGGAAGTGTTCCAAGGATTTGTGCTTGGCTCTTTACTATTTTTTGTTGAAGACCTGGGTAAAGATATAGATGACATGCTTTTCAAGCAAAATTCTAGAAGAGATTGCTAGTATGCTGCATAATAAAGTCAGATTCCAAGAAGATATCAATGGAATAAAATGCAGGGCCAAACAAAATAGAGTGTAATGTTATAGGGATAAATGTAATAAGGATATACAGTCCTATATTTTGGTTAAAAAGTTTTATAAGAACAAGATGGGAAGGAAATAAGCATTTATTAAGTGTCTACTGTGTGCCAGGCACTGTGCTAAATGCTACACAAATAGCTCCTTTAATCCTTACAACAATGCTGGGAGGTGAGTGCTATTATTACTATCTCCCTTTTACAGTTAAGGAAACTGAGGCAGACAGAGGTTAAGTGACTTGCCCAATGTTACACAGCTAGTAAGTGTCAGAGGTCTGATTTGAATTTGGATTTTCCTGACTCCAGGTGTTGTACTCTATCCACTGTGTCACCTACCTGCCTCTAATGGGTCAAGAATGTGTCTCAACAGTAGTTAGTCTCAAAAAGATCTGGGGAGATCAATATATTGAAAGCTCAGCATGATATGGCATCCACAAAAGCTCACATGATCCTTACAAAAACTTTATTACCCCCATTTTATAGATGAGGAAACTGAAGTTTTGAAAAGTAAGGTGATTTACTCAGGATCACCAAGCTAGTAAATCTGAGATAGTACTTGAACTCAGGTCTTCCTGACTTCAGGTCTATATAAGCTTTGGTTAAAGGAACCTGAGAGTTCAGTCTCAAGAAAAGAAAACTTAAGGGACTCTTATGTTGAAGAGGTATTGGAATTGTTCTGCTTGACTTCAGAGAGGAGAACCAGGTGGGGTTTCTGAATGGGAATTACAGATTTAGGCTGAAGATCAAGAAAAACTCCAAAGTTGGAGGTATTCCAAATTGGAGTGGGCTGCCTCAGGATACTGGGTTCACGTCTAATGGTGAGGTTCAAACACAATGCTACATGGCTCTTTGTCTGGCTTGCAGTGGGAATTCTTGTTCTGCTACCAGTTGGCCCACTGGAGGCAACCACTGAGCTCCCTTCTATTTTGGAGATTCTCATTCTTGGTAGATATCCAGAAGACTGGATTTTGTGTCCAGAAGATGATTTTGTGTCCAGAGAGCATATTACACAAATTCCTAATGTAGCATTCTTCTTCAATTTTTTATTTCAACAAAAGAACTTGAGAAAGAAGGCTTGGGAATGAGATCCAGATGAACTTTGCTAGAAGTTAAAAGTTTACCTCTACACTAGAAAGAATGGTATAATTATCAGTTTTAAATCGCTTTGTAAAATAACTTTACATGCTAATTTAAAAGTAAATGACACCTCTATTTGCAGTGAGTGTATATAAAGTTCTTTTCTTTATTAACATTGGATTATGTTTTTGTTTGCAGGGAAAAAGATTTGGAGGCCAAGTTTATTATTCACATGGAAAAAAACAAAACAACAATCACAAATTTAAAGGCAAGTTCTTTGTTTCTCTTTTGAGATCAGTAGACTTTATTTTCTTCATGGGGAAAAATTCTTATGTTTCTGTTTTAATATCTGGTCTGAGAACTGTTTTCTGCCATCCCTCATCTCAACTTTCTGTCTTCAGATCAGCCATCTCAAGTCACTTTAACATCTAACTTTGACCCAAATTATACTCTGAGGGGATAGAAAAGTAGTTTTGTCTTTCCCCTACTTTCTTTGCATCTTCTTTTAGTTGCTGGTGTTGGTTTGGAAGCTAGATTAGATCGCCATCTGAAAGCTAGCAGACCAGTTGTATTATTTGTGCTATATTGTGAGCCTTGACTGGTTCAGAATATCCCATAAACTATACCTGTTTAGGAAAGGGGTGTTACAAGAAATTTCATTTCAATTCATGATTTTAGGTTATAGTTTAGTCATTTGGAAAAGTAGGTTCACTAGGAAAAAGTTTAGAAACCTGTCATTTAAAATGAAAACCATTAATGCTGACATTCAGCTGAACTGTTCACCCAGCATATAAGGAAATGTTCCAGGAAGAATGGAAAAGCTTTGTTTGTAATTTCAGCCCTTTTCCATTGTGACTTTGTAGATTTGTGTTCATAAGGCCAGCCCTATTGGCAAACTGTGGTCTTTTTCTGGTCTTGATTGACTTCAGAGAAAGAAGTTCAGATTAGTTCACAGCTCGAGGGACCAAACACTTTGCATTTCAAAGCAGTGTAGCTCTGTCCCTTTAGCCAGGGAATACTTTCATCTTCAAAGCTTTTGAGTCAGTTGATACCAGACCAACAAGTTTTGCTGTAATTGTATCTGAACAAAAGTTGTCCCTTTGTCCATACCAGTTCCTTGGCCTAAAATGCCTTTCCTTTCCCTCATCTCCAACCTAGCCTCTCCAGCCTTTTACCTATATAAATGATATTCATTATTCAAGGCCTGGTTCAAATCTCACATTTTCTATGAAGTCCTCTTTGACAGCCCACAGCCATCTGCCTTCATATAGTGCTTAATGCCTATATCATTTGTGATGCAGCAGATGTGACATTTTCACTAACGTGAGGTGTAGTCACAACCCACTGTGTGTAGAGGCCTCACACTTCTTACCTAAACATGTCAGCGCCCTGACTTTCACCGGGTTGGCTCCATCACTCCAACCTGCTCTAAGCTTGGCAGGTCTGTTTCCAGGGATGGACCACCAATATAGGGTTATATTCAAACTCTCTCAGGGTACTAGGAAAGAAGCTCACTGGAAGGGAAATATACTCACCCTATTCACCACTCTAGCTCTTGAGCCGCAAATCAGTGTGTTTTCTCTCCATCAGTCACTCACAGCAATGGAGCTTTTTACTCATAGGTACTAATATGCTAATGCAAAAGCATCAGTAGTAAAATAGAGTATGAACCTGTATTATAGTCTCCCAATGCATTGTATCTGTGGTGAAGAGTAGGCACACACTTAAAGAATCAGGGAAGCACATGTGATTAGAGTAAAGGCTTTATTATTATTGGTTAACTCAACTTGAGGTTGTATTGCCCAATCAAAATGGAGCTCTGGGCCCCACAGCTCACCAGAATAGCAAAGCATCTGCACAGACTCCTCTCTGGTTTTCCTTCTCAAGCCACAGATGGCAGCAGAGAGCAGTAGACCTTTATGAGAAACTTCCCCTTTGTCCAGCTCACCAGGTGCTGCTTAAGGGCAATAACTGTCCATGGACTTCTTGGCCAATGATGTTAACTCTCTCTTTGACCAGTCAGGAGTCATTGGCTGAAGCCTTTAACAGCTGATGCTCTCTAACTCCCACAGATCCAACAGATCAGGTTTTCAGCCCACCTGAAAAGTAGCTTGTGGCACAGTGCTGGACCTAGAGTGGAGACATCTGAATTCAAATGCAGGGTCAGACACTATTAGCTGTGTGAACCTTAACCTTTGTTTGCCTCAGTTTCCTCAGCTGTAAAATGGCAATAATAATAACCCCTATCTCCCAGGGTGGTTGTGAGAATCAATTATTACTATTTTTTTTGATAGTGCTTATAAAAAATGGTTAGCACAATGGCTGGCACATAGTAGGTGCTTTATAAATAAATGCTTATTTCCTGCCTCTTCCCTTCCCATCTGCCATGTCCTCAATTCTTCTCCTCAGGTTTCTATGTCAAGTTCTTTTATGAACTGTCTCCTAAACCCTTTATTGGCTTAAATGAGACCCTCCTGATGTCCACTCACTTGCTTTTTTACTTAAAAATTTTATAACTTTCCAAATTTCCCCTCTCATATTGATAGTCCTTCAAAATCATGCTGCTCTCCAAATGTTTGTGTAATTTTCCATTTTTTAGTTTTCCCTTCTGTAGTTATAAAGAGGGAAAGAAGGAAATAAGCACTTATTAAATACTATTTGCAAGCATTAAATACTATGTGCAAGCATATCTCATTTGATCCTTGCAATTACTGTGGGAGGTAGGTGCTGTTATTATTCCTATTTTACAGATGAGGAAACTAAGGCAAACAGAAATTATGTGAGTTGCCCAGGGTCACAGAGCTGGTCTCCCTGGCACTAGGCCCAAGCTTTATCCACTGTGTTGGCTAGTTACATGGAGATTAACTGTCACCCATCATGCTTGTAGCTCTGAAGTATTCCACTTAGTCCTTCACCTCTTTGATGCTCTTGAAACTGTTTTTTCATGGCCATGTTTCTCTAGTATTGAAAAAATATATTTTCGTCTTTTTTTAAAAAACTGAATTCTTCCCAAACAAGGGAGGCAGCATTCTACGTTGTTCACAAAGGGATTTGAGTGTTTATATTTTATATTATAGATCTTTTTCTGTCTAAAACTGTCAAAATCCTGTCTGAAAGCGATTTCTACGTACACCTATGTCATAGTATTGCTTCTCTTTTATAGGAATAGTTCATATACTCTACTTAGAATCATAGGACCATAAGAGCATAGATCTTGCGCTGGAAGGGTCTTCACAGGCCACCTAGTTCAACTTACTTATTTTACAAATGAAGAAATTGAAGCCCAGGGAGTTGTCCCAGGTCATATAGCTAATATGTGTCAAAGGCAGGATTTGAACACAGTCACCTGACAGTCAGTGGTCAGGATTACACTTTCTTATATACCTGTGTTTTTTCCAACTAGATTGTAAACATCAGTTGTAGGGACCAAGACTTATTACACCTTTGTATCCTTCATAATGTTTAGCATAGTGTCTTACTAAAAAGTTAACTGTTGAATAGCTAAACGAATGAATGAATGAATACACATTCATTAGTTGAAAGGGACCGAAACTCACAAGATGTTTACAGTCTAAAAAGTGTTCCAAATAGTTCTATTTTACACCTTCTCCTTTTCTTTGTGCACATGAAATCCCTTTTCTTTAAATCATCTTTTTCATTGATCAGCCAAAGATGTCGAGATTCTTAATACTTTTATAGGATTTTTTCACCACAAAAAATGTGTAGGAAAATGCATTATTTGTTCAGTAAAAATTTATTAAGCGCCCATTATGATTAATATATATGGCAGATCAAGTGGAGATTACAAAGATGTATGAGACATAGTCCCTGTCCTTAAGAAATTTATGTTTGAGATGTCATAGCAATATAAGGGAGGCCATTGCAAATGTCATTTGATTAAATACAAACAAAATGCTGTAGTTGTGGAGAAGTGGAAGCGATGACTTTTGGTTGGGGAAATCAGAGGTGTTCAGAGGTCCTGGTTCTAGAGCCGAGTGGGATGTTGTAACTCAACTTGTCCAGTCTCTCCATTTGATGGATGAGGAGCTGTGGCCCACAGAAATTAAGGACCGGCCCAAAGTCACCTGGTGGCAAAGCTGGGATTTGAACCCAGGTCTTTGATTCTAAATCCTACCATGTATCCTACCTCCTTCTAAGCCTTCATAAATGCAGTAACATTTAAGTGGGGCCTTGGAATCATGACAGGGAAAAGGATCTTAGAGATCATCTGGCCTGAAAGGTGAGTAAGATTATGACAATTAGATATGGAGGGTGGTATGTATTCAAAGTAATGGGTACGGCATGAGCAAAGATATACAAGTTCTGTTTGGGGAACAGTGGGAAGATTTAGCTTGTTCAGAGCGTAGTGTTTGTGTAGGGGGATAGCAGAAAATGAGTCTGGAGAGGTAAGTTCAGGCAAGATTGTGTGGTAATGAATTCTCAGGCAAAGAGTTAAGACTTCTTTAGAAAATGGAAACCACTAGAGGTTTTTGAGCAGACAAGTGGTATTTCTAGGAAGATTGCTCTTGTTTCTGGAGTACTTTACATGTCAAATGGCAATGTTTATTTATTTATTTGTTTGTTTTTTTTTCCTTTCTAGATTCCAGAGGGAGGGACTGGAGATACAGGAAGAGAACGTACCAAAACCTTTACCTATGACTTTTCCTTCTGTTCTGCTGATTCTAAAAGTCCAAATTATGTTTCTCAAGAAATGGTATGACTTCTAAAATCTAAGTGTGTTTATTTTCATGTTGCACATGTTATTTTTGTATTGCCAATCTTCTTCCTAAAATTTTCTGTTACTAGTTTACATATATGAGTATGCAAAAGATTTCTTCAGTGTTTGGGAACTCCCTGTGTGGGAAGTACCTCCAATCTGTCCATGACTTACTAGCAAAGTATTAGGGAGTTACCCAAAGCACAAAGGAATGAAATGATTTTTTCCCCAATATCACAAAGCTAGGATGAGTCAGAGGCATGGGCTGGGTTGGACATAGGGCTTTCTGACTTCCAGCCTAGTTCTCCAGTCATTAATCACACCACTTCTGTCTATTTATATAAACTTAGCAATTCTATTGAGGCAGGTAGGTGACACAATAGTTTTCACTATTGGATTTGCTGACCAGAAGACTTGAGTTTGAATGCTCCCTCAGCCCTTTTCTTACTAGCTTTGTGACCAGGAGCAAGTCATTTAATTTTTGTCAGTCTTAGTTTCCTCCCATGTAAAAAGGGGGTAACAATAGCACCTATCTCACAGTGTTGTGAAGAACAGATGATGTAACACACATAGCATATGCACACCTTAGAAGTGTTATATGAATAATATTATTTCTTGATTCTTAATTATTGATGTCTTAAACCTGATAATTTTGTGCTGTGATCAGGTCTCTTTTGTTCATCTTTGTATGTTATCAGATTTCTTTAAAATTGGTTTTCATTATTAACATTGTGAAAATACCATGAGAAGGGAGACTTATCAGCAGGCAGCTAAGCAGAAGCAAGTTGGCCTCTTCATTGTTTTTCTCTTGTAAAGAATAGCTCTTGTTCTTAGCTTTTAGACTAAATCCATAGTTTCATGGGCCTTCCATTTCCCATTTGTGTAAGACAGATGCTGATACATGTGATGTTATACAATCAATCAGCAAACACCTATTACATGCTAGGCATGGTGCCTTCTAGTCCCATCTATGTAATGCCTGTGTAACTTTGGACAAATTGCTTAATGTCTCTGTGCTTCAGTAATATCCATTGGTTGGACCTGTGCTTCTAGGCAGAAATGTCAGAAAAAAATGCTTGTACCCTTTGTTTAATTGCAAAACAGATTAAAAAAAAACAACAGAATATCTGATTGCTTTGGGCATGTTTTCCCTCCATTAACAGAAGTGGCATAAGATAAAAGAATGGGGGCCTTGTGCTTTAAGAGAGTAAGAGTAATACCTATAGCATGGTGTAAAGGAGGGTAGGTCAGGTTTGGAGCCAGCCAGACCTGCGTTCAGCTCTTGTCTCTGATACATTTAAGCTGTTTGATCACAAGCAAGTGGCTTCAGGGTCTCCCAGTGTTTTCAGACTTTAAGTTACGGGGATGGGTGGTAGAGGGAGCTTCTACATCAGGAAGTCCCTAAAATGTGATTAAATTCTTGTGGGAGAAAAATCCATATGACAAGTGGACTAGATGACCTCTCACCTTCCTTCCCACAGGAAGATTCCATGATTCTAACTAAGAATGTTAGTGTCCCCTAGTAAGGGCTGGGCTCCCAGGTGGCCAAAATGCCAGATGCTCTTAGCTTTTGTTAATTGCACAACAGAGAGTTCTCTGCTGCCTGAAGTTTCCTTTCTTCACCACCCCTCACCCTATAACATGGAGGGGATGCTTGGGAGATATTTTCACTCATGAGCAGTCTTTAGTTACTTAGAACTATACTTTTGGTAAATCTGAGTTTAGAGCCATTCAGTAATTGTTCTTTTAAAGATTTGTTTTCTTGATGCATCAAAATATGGTAAGAAAAATGTATGCCCTTTGAAAATTCTGAAAGAATGATGAAACATTTATAGATCTTCACAATTCCCCCCTTTATCCTTGCCCAGCCCACTCCAACCCAATAGATCCTTACAGCTGTTCCCTTACAGCAATCTTCAGTCACTTTGTTTTGGAAGCTCAGTCTTCTACCTTTGCCTGTAGAGTCCTAGGGGATTTCTTAGGAATAGATTTGGGTTTATGCACTGTTTTATTGGGTTGGAAGCAGCTTCTTAAAGCCCCCAACTCTTAAAGCAGTTGAGAGTCTTTATACCCCTAGGGAGTTTTGCGTTAGGCTTAAGTCTGAATGAGCATGTGTTCTTGTTATGTAGCAGAACTTGGTATTTTGGAATATCTTAGTAACACTTCCCCATCAATTAGGGCTATGTAGTCTGTGCCCATGGCCTAGCTAGATCTATGTGACTTGGCACTCTGCTAGAACAGTTACAACCTTAGGTTACCATACAGGCCATACGGAACCTGACAGTGGTGAGTTTAGTCATTAAAGCATTACTCATGTACAACCAATCAATAAACTCAGTGATAACTTTGAGAGATAATTGATTTATCTTTATAGATAGGTAACTGGACCATTCAGTGATAGGATTGGGCTATAATTCCTGGATGCCATACTTTTTAGACTTTTAATACTTAGTTTGAGGAAATTGTAACAAAATTAAATTTTAAAAATTTTGTATCAATCTGAAATGATAAATTGTTATACTTTAAAATCTTCCTTATTTACATTTCAAGAATTCTACTTTAACCTGCTTTAGTATAAACACTTTTTTTCCTTATCAAAATCAGGGATACATGTTTTGTCATAATTTGTACCATGGTGGTTTATAGTTATTTAAAAGTATTATAAGATGTGTTTTTGTGATCTGTAATGATTGGTTTTTTTTTTCTTTTGCTTTCAGGTTTTCACAAATCTTGGCACTGATGTCTTACAGTCTGCATTCGAAGGTTATAATGCTTGTGTCTTTGCCTATGGGCAAACCGGATCAGGGAAGTCTTACACTATGATGGGAAATACTGTACGTTATTTACATTGTGGTGGAAACAAAATTTGTTTATAATAACTTCGTACTTAGGACTGGTACTGTCTTCTGTTCTATCTCCTTGATCTGCACCAATTTGGTTTTTATGTTCTGCTCATTCTGTAGTAATAGGATAAGGCCAAGTAATAAGTTGGACTAAATTTCCTTGGAGAGATGTTAAATTAGAAATAGTTTTAAGTGCATAAATATGAATAACGGATGCAAGTCCTAGCCTATTTTCTTTTTTAAAAAAGTCTTTATAATCTTATCAAAAAAGTACCCTGGGCTTAAAAGTAATTTATGCTGCTCTTTTGCCAACAATTTTAAATAAAATCTATTTAACTTTGTTCTTTCAAAAACAGTTTTACATTTTTCCAATTGGAAAAGACTCATTTAAAAAATCTGTATCTTTGGAAGAAAGACATTATGTAAATCCAGTAAATCTATTTGATAAAAAGTCTGGGGAGGCTGTACTACAGAGATTAATAGAAAGTAATAATGAATTGACTCCAAAAAACATAGAGATGAAAAAAAAAATAGATCAGATATTACATCTGTCTATCTCATACATTACTATTAAAAATCTATTACAAGCTAACAATGTTTTTTCACTCCTGTATCTGTTCTAGATTTACAAAGTGTTGCGATCCTTTACTTTCTAAAGCTCATAATGAAAATAACTGGCAGTTATTGCAAATGTATGTGAAAAAGCTATGTAAAAGGTGAAGCGTGAAAATATGGAAGGGATTAAGGCGCTCTAAATGTTTTGCTGCTTATTCTCAGGCATCTAAAATAAGGATATTGTTAAGTTTCTTAAATGTAAATACTGAACTTGAAGAATTTCCATGTGATCTTTACTACTCTATTCTCGCTGAAGCTCTAACCCTTACACCTGGGGCTCCAGGGCTTGGCCCCTGGCTCTCCTCCTCTGTACAATAAGGACATTGGGCTAGGTAATCTCTAAGGTCCCTTCTGGCTCCACCATTCATCATAGGGGTCTGTGGTTCAGAGAGGAGGTAGAACTTTAAGAGTTGTCTGAATTATGGAAGTGAGTTGGTTTGTGAGCTGAGTCTCACCTAGCAACTTGGAAAGCATCAAAATGAAGATTTCTAGCTTTAATATTCAAAACTCAATAAAAGTGATATTTGCATATGAATCCACACATGGCTAGCTTAGGCATTTATAAAGTAGGCTATGAATGGCAAGATTTTGTTTGGAATTAGAATAGATTATACATAATTTGGGTCTTTATCTTTTTCAGTGAGAAAAAAAATGAGAGCGCCTCAGTTTCTTTTACTGTAAAATGAGGCTTGGATTCAGTCTCCTTTGGGGGTTTTCCCTCCTCTTCTTGCCCCCTAAGTGTCCCTGGTCCCCAAGGCTCTGTCATTGGCCCCTTTTACTGCTCTGAGTGCCCTGGTAATCTTATTCATTTTCATAGTTTCGGTTATCAGCTAGGCAGATGACTCCCAAGTCTTTATATCCACATCTGTTCTCTCCTCCGAACTCCAGTCCCATGTTTCCAGTTGCCCATTTGACATTTCCAGCCACATGTCCCACTAGACCTTTAAATTTAACTTGTCCAAAACTGCATTCAAGTCCTCTCACTGACCCTGCTCCTCAGTCCTCCCCTCCACCCTTACCCCCCATCCTATAACTTTCCTTCCAGCTTCCCTATTTCTGTCAAAGGTACAACCATCTAAGTAGTCATATGGACTAATCTCAGAGTTGGCTTTAAATCTTTCCTGTCTATCTGTCAATTGGCTTCCAAGTCTCATTGATTCAAGCTTCACTCTGATTCTCCTGTCTATTTCTTACTCTCCAGTAACAATGCCATCATCTTTGCCAGGTCCTCCTTGCCTCTTATCCTGTACTCTTTGTGATACTCATTCCTGCCTTTAGTCTTTCCTCTTCTTCATACAGCTGCCAAAGTAATCTTACTGATGTAGAGTTCTGACCATGTTACTCTTCTGACCAAAAACCCTCAGTGACGAATTACAGACTTCTTAACCCAGCACCTTGGGCTCCCTGCATTTGGCTCCAACTTACTTTTCTAGCCTTATTTCTCTCTATGCTTCTTCATATACTCTGTCAGTTTTTGTTCCCATATCTTGTCGTGTGTTCTCATCACTTAGTACATTTAAGCTGTCTATGTTCCAGCCATGCTTCCTCTCCATCTCTGCTTGTTAAAATTTTTTTTCTTCCTTAAAGGCCCAGCTCAGGTGCCACCTTATCCATTAAGCTTTCCCTGATGCACCCAGCTGAAAGTGATTTCTCTTCCTATTTCTTGTAGTGCTGTCTAGATTTACCATTTTCAGTTTATCACAATCTACCTTGCATTATAATAATTAATAGAGTTTTGTCAAGATTACTTGATGGTCATAATACACTCTTTTTTCAATAACCCAAAAGGCAACTCTTCACATGGACATCACCAGACATCAATATAGAAATCAGATTGATCATATACTTTGCAGTCAGAGGTAGAGAAGCTCTGTATGGTCAGTTAAAACAAGACCTGGTGTTGACTGTGGCTCAGATCATGGGTTTCTTATTGCAAAATTCAGACTTAAAATGAAGAAAATAGGGAAAACCATCTAAATGTGTGGGTATGACCTAAATAGCATCACTCATGAGCATGAAATGAAGGTGAGGAATAGATTTAAGGGATTAAGTCTGGTAAATAGAGCGCTTGAAGAACTATGGACAGAAGTTCACAATATTGTAGAGGAGGCAACAACAAAAACCATTCCAAAGAAAAAGAAGAGCAGGGAAGCAAAACGGCTGTCTGATGAGGATTTACAAATAGCTGAGGGAGAAAGGAAAGTGAAAAGCTAAGGAGAAATGGAAAGATATACCCAACACAGAATTTCAGAGAATAGCAAGAAGAAATAAGGTTTTCTTAGATGAGTAATGCAAAGGAATAGAAGATAATAGAACAGGGAAAGACAAGAGATCTCTTCATGAAAAATAGAGGTAACAAGGGATAGCTAGGTGGTGCTGGATAGAGCACCAGCCCTGGAGTCAGGAGGACCTGAGTTCGAATCTAGTCTCAGACCAGACACTTGACACTTACTAACTGTGTGACCCTGGGCAAGTCACTTAACCCCAATTGCCTTGCCAAAAAAAAAAAAAGGAAAGAGAAAAGAAAAATAGAGATATCAAGGGAATGTTTTATGCAAAAATAGGCATGAAAGAAGACAAAAATTTTAGGGACATAACACAAGCAGAAGAGGTTAAGAAGAGGTGGTAAGAATACAACCTAGAACTATACAAGAAAGAATGTGGTTACTGATTGATCTAGAGCTAGATATCCTGGAGACTGAGGTCGAGTGGACCTTAGGAAGCATTGCTAACAATAAGCATAGTGGAGGTGATAAAATTCCAGCTGAGCTATAAGATTATGCTGTTAAAGTGCCATACTCAATGTGCCAGCAAATTTGGAAAACTCAACAGTGGCCACTGGATTGGAAAAGATCAGTTTACGTCCCAATCTAAAGAAGGGCAATGCCAAAAAATGTTCAAATTACCGCCTAATTACACTCATTTCACATGCCAGCAAAGTTATGTTCAAGATTCTACAATCTAGGCTTCAGCAATATGTGAAGCAAGAATTACCAGAAAAGCTGGGTGGTTTTTGAAGAGGCAGAGGAACTAGAAACCAAATTCCCAAAGTTTGCTGGATTATGGAGAAAGCAAAAACATCTTCCTCTTCATTGACTATACTAAAGCCTTTGACGCTGTGGATCACAACAAAATATGACAAGTCCTCAAAGAAGTAGGAATTCCAGGTCATCTTACTTGTTTCCTGAAGAACCTGTATGTGAGTCAGGAAGAAACAGTTAGAACTGAACATGGAACAACTAATTGGTTAAAGATTGGAAAAGGAGTATGACAAGGCTGTATATTGTCACCTTATTTACTTAATTCATATTCAGAGTACCTCATGAGAAATACCAGAGTGGATGAATCAAAAGCTGGAATTAAGGTTGCTGGCAGAAATGTCAACAATCTCAGATATGCAGATGGTACAACTCTGATGGCAGAAAGTGAAGAGGAATTAAGAAGCCTCTTGATAAGGGTGAAGGAGGAGAGTGTAAAAGCTGCCTTGAAGCTTAACATTTAAAAAACAAAAAAACAAAACAAACTCCCCAAAACCAGCTGAGATCTTGGCAACTGATCCGATCACTTCCTGGCAAATAGAGGGAGAAGAAATGGAAGCAGTGTCAGATTTTGTATTCTTGGGCTCAAAGATCACTGCAGATGGCCACAGTGGCCATGAAATGAAAAGATACTTGGTCCTTAGAAGAAAAGCTATGGCAAATCTGGACAGCATACCAAAAAGCAGAGATATTATTACGTTGCCGAAAAAACGTTCATATAATCAAAGCTATAGTTTTTCCAGTAGCAATGTGAGGTTGTGAGAGTTGGATTATAAGGAAAGCTGAGCACCACAGAATCAAAGCTTTTGAATTGTGGTGCTGGAGAAGACTTTTGAGAATCCCTTGGACAGAAAGGTGATTAAACCAATCAATACTTAAATTAATTGAGGCTATTCACTGAAAGATCAAATATTGAAACTGAAGCTTAAATACTTTGGCCACATAATGAGAAGATGGGACTTCTTGGAAAAGACCCCGATGTTGGGAAAGATTGAAGGCAAAAGGAAAAGAGGATGGCAGAGGATGCAATGGATAGATAGTGTCATGGAAATGATGTGAATGAACTTGGACAGATTTCGAGAGAATAGTGGATAGGAGGCCTGGCGTGCTATGGTCCATGAGGTCACAAAAAGTTGGATATGACTAAGCAATTCAACAACAACCTTGCATTATACTTATTTGTGGACCTATCTTATTTTCTGTATTGGTTTATAAGCTCCCTGAGGGGTGGGACTTTGTTGTTTTTCATTCTTATATGTATTAGGTCCTGTGCTTTGTGTATATCTGGTGCTTAATGTTGTAATTGAATTAGATATTCATAGTGTAGCATTGAATCCATTAATGGATGATAGAATTTGAGCCAGAAGAGACTTATAAGATCATCCAGTAAAACTCATTTTATATATGAGGAAACTGAAGCCCATAAAGACTAAATGCTTTTCCCGGAGTAAATTAACCGTTAAAGCTAGAACTGTAATCTGTAAACCTGTGACTAGCTGTGGAACCTCCAGTGTTCTTTTTTCCTGCGTATTCAGTTGGAGTTTGTTTGTGTTGCAAGAAATTATTTGATCAATTCTTGATTCTTATTACAGGGTGATTCTGGCTTAATACCTCGAATTTGTGAAGGTTTGTTCAGTCGTATAAATGAAACTACAAAATGGGATGAAGCATCTTTTCGAACCGAAGTCAGGTGAGTTTTGTTTAGATTGGATTTCTAAATTAAGGTGGTCCCTTTCTTAGCAGGCCCACTTTCATCCATCCCTTATAACTATACCTTTACCTGGGAAGGGCATATGATTATAGGGAATCTCCTTTTTTCCCCTTTTGTTGCCATTTGGCTATTTTCTCCTTCCCTTCCTATGACACTGAAGGCCCAGTTCAGGTTGGGACTGCGGTGGTAGTCATAGAAAGCAGGAAGAAGGAGGCAGAAAATAATAGTGAATATTCTCTCTCAAATAGCCCTTTCTTCTCCCTTTCCCCTAACATTTGCCTCCTCGGCATTTGTCTAGCCCAGTCCACCCCACTTACTCTAGAGAGACTCTGTCCTATTTTTCACTCGCAAGAACTCACATTTATTCCAGCTTCTTAGAAGAAACACTCAGGATAGCTTTGATTTATCTGAAATTTAGATACATTAACATATAGACATCTAGCAGTAACATGAATGAGTGATTTCGTCTCTTACTAATGGTCTAAGAAAAAAATGAGGAAGAAATGGAGCCTTTGTACTTTGTGTCTGTTTATTTCTTGTGTCTGTCCCCACAAACCCTTAGAAAAATCACAAAGGGCCATATGTGCAAGACTAGATTTTGTTCTTAGTGGGTCTGGGAAATAGAGAAACTTTTTCTTTTGGATAAATTTTTATTGATGACCTTTGTTTTTTAAATCACATACATTCCCCAACATAAATCCTTGAGCCCCCTTTAAAAGGGCTATTCCTTATACTGAATAACAAAAAAAAAGGGAAGAAAACCAGCCTAGCGAAACTAACCAACACATTAAGAAAAATCTGACATTGTTTGCGGTCTTCCAGAATGATTGGTCCCTTCTTCCGTAAAGGAGGTGGGGAAGTACTTTTTCAAATCTTTTTTTTGGGCCCAAGCTTGGTCATTATAATTTTTACAGTGTCAGTCAGCTATTACTTACTAAGTGCCTGCTATGAGACAAGCACTTTTTTTTTTTTTGCTAAGCTCTGCGGATACCAAGAAAAGTGAAAAACAATGCCTGATCTCAAGGACCTCACAGTCTGATGGAGGAGATAGCATGAAAGCAGCTTTATACTAACAGGATCTGTACAAGATAGATTGGAAGTGGTCTTGGAGGGGAGGCATTAAGATTAAGGAGAACAAGGAAAGATTTCTTACAGAAGTAGAACTTTAGCTGCTACTTAAAGGAAGCCGGGAGTCAGTAATGAGGAGGGAGAGCATTCTAGGCACAGGCAACAGTCAGTCAAAACACTCCAAAGTCAGGGGATGTGAGTGTTGTGTTGATGAACAGCAAGAAGGCCAATGTCACTGGAACGGTAGGGAGAGGCCAGGTTATGAAGGGCTTTAAAAGCCAAACAAAAGGTTTTACATTTGATCCTGGAGATAATAAGGAGCTGTTGGAGTTTATTGAATGGGAGTGTGTGGTGTGTGTGTGATATGGTCAGACTTACATTTTAGGAAGATTAGAATGTTGTTCTTTTCATTCACATTGGTGTAGTTTTTGTGTATGTTGCTTTACTGGTTCTATTTACTTTGCATCAGTTCATATAAATCTTCTTCTGTTTCTCTGTCATCACAGTTCAATTATATTCATGTACTACAACTTATTTAACCATTTCCAAATGGATGAGCATCTGCTTTGTTTCTAGGTCTTTGCTACTATGAAGTATTGCTCTAAACAATTTAGATATTTATTTTTATAATTTTTTTTCGCTGACTCCTTGGAGTATTTACCATCTTTGGATCAAAGGGTATAGTCATTTTAGCCATTTTCTCAGCATAATTACAAATTATTTTCTAAAATGGTTATATCAATTTATAGATGTGACAATAATACATTAGTGTGCCAGTCTTTCTACAACTCCTAAACATCATTTCTTCCAGGCTTTTATTTTCTTTGTTAATTTGTTGAGTGTGAGTTGAAACCTTAAGGTTGTTTTGATTTTAATTTTGCATATTAATAATTTGAAGAATTCTTTAATATGGTTGTTAATAGCTTGCAATTCTTTTGTCAACTGTTCATTTTCTTTGAATACTTAACTATTGAGGAATGGGAGAAGAAATTCTTAAATAGGTGGCAGCTGTGAAAAGGGGAGGAGAGAGCCAGTCTCTGGGGTCTTCAGAAGAAAAAGGCAATGATAGGAAATCTGTTCATGGCTAAGAGGTATCCCTGGGGTTAGCACTAGTGGGAATCCTTGGTATCTGACAGATCTTCACCCTGAGAATTCATGGAGGCTCTATAGTTCCTTATGCCCTATTCCCATGTCTTACTACCTTTCCTTACAAGTACGTCCCTCTCCCAATCAGTTGCCTTAAAATATTAACTTAGAGCTGGGCAGATGTCACTGGGGAAAGGGGATGTTTATGGAACTCACCTGTAGTGGTTAGATTTTTTAATATTTCCCTTTAGGTCAATTATAGACTTTTGTGGGGCTTGCCAGAGAACAGGACTCCTATGTTATAGATTCTTTAATATTTCCCTTTAGGTCGATTATAGACTTTTGTGGGGCTTGCCAGAGAACAGGACTCCTATGTTATAATATTATTTCCGGAGAACATGCCTTTCAGATTTTAAAGCTACTGACCTAAAACTTTTGGAACCCAATTTGTGTGTGAGTTGGGTGGAGCTTGCCTGAATTGGTTCTGTGTGATACTGTCACTGTAGCTCTGGTCTGATCTTAGGAATCCTGTAGCTTCCTTTCACAGATAGTCTGCTATTCTGCTCGTTTGTGACAGTTGAAGGAAACAAAACTTTTTGTCCTTTTAATGAGTTGCCTAGACAGCATCTCTACCATCTAAATATAAACTAATGAGATGGGTGTATTTGGCATAGGGAAATTACCCCAGACAGGTGAGTCCTTGGCTTCTAAGTGTGACTGTGTTATACTGCATCGTGGCTTTGATCCTCATGAGAATGTCTGTAAGCTTTCTGTTTTTGGTAAGAAAATTACAAATTCATTCTATACTTACATGATGTTCCCCAATTAGAGTTGAAATTTATATGCATTAAAAATATTGAAATATAAATTAATTTAAATCCAATTTTTTAGTTACCTTGAGATCTATAATGAACGTGTGAGAGATCTGCTTAGGCGGAAGTCATCAAAAACCTACAATTTGAGAGTTCGTGAGCATCCCAAAGAAGGACCTTATGTTGAGGGTAAGAACACTTATTTCATAGCTCTCTGCTTTTGGGTATTAGTATAAAGTTTTGGAAAAGTGTTGCTTATAAAAGAAAAGATGGATTCTTGGTCTTTTCCTTTCACACTTGAAATGCATAAATTCTTTTGTACTTATTTATAAAACTATTCAACCCCATTGTGAATCCCAATGCTGCTCTTAAGTGCTCTGGCTTTGGAGTCAGAGGACCTGGGTTCAGGTAGTGGTTCTGCTACTAGCTGTGTGACCATAGTCAAGTCACAAAGCCTTTCTGGGTCTTGTTTTCTTCCTCCGAGGTCTCATCTAGCTCTTAGTTTATGATCTGTATTTGTCCTCATATACTCTCCATTCCAACCCAGTTGACCTACTTGCTGTTTCCCATCCTCTGTGCCCGAAATATTTTCCCTCCACTTTTTTTTTCCCTTCCACTTTTTGGAATCCCTAGCCCCCTTAAAGGCTCAACTCCACATTCCACACCATACCTTTTATGATCACCCCAACTTATCAGTAGTTTTTGGCTCCCCTCTCCCATTTACATTATATTTACTTAAGTTTGTACAAGTTTTTTCCCTCCAGTAGAATATATACTTCTTGAGGGCAGGTGTGATTTCATTTTTGTCTTTGTATCCTCAGTCCTTGCACATGGTAGGCTCTTGATAAATGCATATTGAATCGAATCTTGTGAAATGATTCTTTGAAATGTTTAAGTAGCCAAACTAGTTTTTAAAGCCCTTGTTTTATGTATTAAGTAAAACTCCCCTGGTTTGAAGAGCCATTTGAAGATTAATTTACAAATGTTTTCATACAGGGTAAGTAATCCCTGCTTTGTGCTACAGTTAAAGCTATTATTATTATTCTTGAAATAGAGTTGCCTGCTCTCTGTATTTATTGCCCCAATGACACATAATGATAATAAAGAGTTTCTTAGAGTTCTTTGTAAGACATTTGCAGTATTGGCTGAGTGTTTTTTTAAAAAGATATTTATGCTGTCCATTTAAAAAATTTAAGCAGCGAGATTAAATGTGTAAATAGGATCTCTATTGCTCTACTTTATCATTTTCCAAAATTGAATTTTTATTAAGTGAGTGTGCTCATAATAGTTTATACATGAGTGAGAGGGACCAAAGACTTGTGGATTGCACATAAGCTCATATCTCTATATGGCAGATACTGTCTTTCTGGAAGGATATGTAGGTGCTGGACATGGCAAGCTCCACTTAATTTCCATGAAAATGAAATAGCTTATATTTTATAGACAGGAAAGAACTGACTGGGTGGGAATTATTCCTGAACCATCTACCTAAATGCAGTCTGTCAGTGAGTCAGAGCTAAGATCAGAATTAGTAAAAACACAAAAAGAAAGAACGGGGGCAGCTGGGTGGCACAGTGGATAGAGATCCAGCCTTGGAGTCAGGAGGACCGGAGTTCGAATCTGGCCTCAGACACTTGACACTTACTAGCTGGGTGACCCTGGGCAAGTCACTTAACCCCAATTGCCTCATCCTCTCCCCGCCAAAAAATAATAACAATAAGAAAAAGGTGATATAGAATTGAAACAACAAAACTTTAAAATAATTAAACAATTGAAAATAAAAAAATGGGAAGCAGATTATATAAATATCATAAACACTGAATATAATAATTTTGTTACCAAATTTGTTCACAGTTAATTACCACAACAAGGAGACCCACAGAGCCTAAAAGACTTCTTGAGAGTAGGGATTGTTTCATTCTTTGCATTCGTGTCCTGAGTGCCTACTACAGTTCCTGTTGAGGTGCTTAGTAAAATTTATTAATTGATTGATTGCCTCTAATAATCTGGCTTACTTGCCAGATAGAGAACTAATTTGTTTAATTGTACAAAAAACAACAATTATGAGTAGGGCCCCATAAAGCAAAGAGAAACAGTGAAAGGTAAAACCAGTTTAAAAAAATTTTAATAAGGCATCCAACTAAACAAATTCATTCTAAGAGTGTTCAAAGTTGAAAATAAAAGGGCTTCAAATCGGAATAAAATGAAAAGAACTTGCAAATATCATTGTAACAGACTTTTTTGTCCATCAGGTATAGTGGAACCACCACACTTGGACTCTAACTTCATAGTCCTAGATGTCAGTCTAATGAAATACATTCATTTAACACTTAACAGTGTGCCAGGCATTGTACTAGGTGCTGGAGATACAAAGAAAGGCAAAAATGGGCCTTGCCTTCAAGGAGCTCACCTTCAAATGTGTAAGGAAACATGTGAATAATTAAATACATAAAAGCTATACACAGAATAGATGGAAGGTAATCTCAGAGGAAGGGCGCATCAGGGAGGACCTGGAAAGGCCTCCTGTTAGAAGGTGGGATTTGAATTGGATTTTGAAGGAAGCCAGGAAAACTAATAGGTGGAGGTGAGGAGATAGAGCATTTTAAGCATTTATGGGAAATAGCCAATGCAAAGTCATGGAGTTCTGTGTGTGAGGGAACAGCAAGTAGGCCAGGGTCACTTAATTCTAGAGTATTTGGAGCGGAAGAGAGTACAAGAAGACCGGAAACATAGGAAGGAAGCAGGTTATGAAGAACTTTCAGTGTCAGGGGATTTTATGTTTAATCCTAGAGATATAAGTGACCTGCCAGACTAGATTGGGCAGTGGGGTGACATGGTCAGACTTGCACTTCAGTACGATCACTTTGGCATCTAAAAGGAGGATGGGTTAGAGTGGACAGAGACTTGAGGCAGGGACACCAATTAGAAGGCTCTTTCTATAGTCTAGGTGAGAGCTGGTAAGAGGTTGGTGGTGGCTGTGTGACTGCTTTTACAAGCAATATCTAACAATGGGACATATCTTTAACATTTTACAGTTACAAGACAGAGAGAATGTAAAATCTTATTATGCTTAATGTTTGTTGATTTTAAACAAACATTTTATTTAATCAAAACAAAACAAAAACCATACCACCTTGCAGACTATTTTAAAACAAGGTATCTCATTTTTATATCAAAACCATTCAGGTTTTCTTAGAAGATATAATAACAGCTGTGTTGGCTACTCTAATAAAAACAAATGTGCTACAAGGAAGGATGATATATATTCGCCCAAAAAAGTATGGAGTCTAGATTGAAAAGTGATTTCCTGTGGATGATGAGGTCCTGCAGATACGTCTGTTGGATCACATTGTACTCTTTGCACTAAGCCCCACAATGTTACAGTGACTCCTGGCAGAATTGTATGATCACTTAAAGGAGTTTGGCCAATCCATTTACACTGGAGCATCCAAGAGGATGAAAAGTTTTTGTTGTCCAGATTTTGACACACATTTGGATGGACACCCTATGTTTCTTAGTGTGTATATCTGGAAAAGACAATGCAGATGGATGATGAGTTGAGACAGGTGGAAGAGCATGGACTGAGTTTCTTTTGGGAAATGGCAAAACTCCTTCATTGAGTATGAAGCCTTTCTATAAAAGTACAGACCCAACTTTTTAATACTCCTAACTTTCTACTAATATTGCTGTCTGGAAGCAAGGCACGGAATACAGCTGACTCCAAAGAGCTAATAGAGAATGGCAACAGAGAGGCTTGTATGGTGAGTGTGAACAGATAGTAACATGAAACCAGTGAGGAACTCTGATGGAAAAAAAAAAGGCATAAAAGGTGTCATCAAGGAATTATACTATATAAAAAGAAGATGGACTGGTCATATGTAAAGAGATTGATGGCAGGTAGAAAGCCAGAGTGATCCACTAGTACCGTTGCAATGTCAAGAGAAATCAAGGAAGGCCTCCAAAATATTAGGTTAACCCTCTGTGGTGAACTTGTGGAGGGTACCAGTAAGATTCATGGTGGATGGGCAGCCGTAGTTGGGTCATGCGGGTGGAAACTCCCAAATCTATTTTATTACAGATAATTTTAGAGTACTGAATGTACTTCAGTGGATTTATAATCCCATTTTTATGGATACTCCTTCAAATGGTACAGATTGCAAACTGTTCTCACATTCTCATCCTGTAGCTCTTGTTCAGTCTAGCCAATATACTGAACAACTTTCTTCTAGGATCATATGATTGTAGATTTTGAGTTAAAGGAGACATTTAGTCCTTTTATAGATGAGGAAACTGAAGCTCAGAGAATTGAAGTCAGGTGTCTGAGGTCATATAGTTTGTTGGCACAGCTGGGACTTGGTGATCCTTTCTATTTAGTATTTTATTTTTCCTCAGTTACATGTAAAAAATAATTTTACCATTTCTTACTAGAACTTACTAGAACTTCTCTCCCTTCCTCTATTCTCGCCCCCCCCCATTGAGAAGACAAGCAATTTGATATAGGGTATACATGTGTAGTCATGCAAAACATATCCATAATAGTCTTGTTATGAAAGAAAATATAGACAAGAAAAAAAACCTCAAGAAAATTTATTTTTTTTATTAATTTATTTTGATTTATTAATAATCACTTCCATAAACTTTTGATTTTAACATTTTTCTCCCCCTCTCTCCCCCCCAAAAATAAAGTTAAAAAAAAGTATGCTTCAATCTGTATTCAGACACTATCAGTTCTTTCTCTGGGGATAGTATTTTTCATCACAAGTCCTTCAGAGTTGTCTTGGATCATTGTATTGCTGAGAATAGCTAAGTCATTCACAGCTGATCATGTTATAATATTGCTGTAGCTTTGTACACAGTACATTTCACTTTGCATCAGCTCATGCAAGTCTTTTCAGGTTTTTCAGAGAGCATCCTGCTCATTATTTCTTACAGTACAATAGTATTCCATCGTAATTGCATACCACAACTTGTTCAGCCATTCCCCAATTGATGGGCAGCCCCCTCAACTTCTAATTCTTTACCCCCAGAAAAGAGCTGCTATAAATATTTTTGTACACGTAGGTCCTTTTCCTTTTTCTTTTTTATCTCTTTTGGGATATAGACTTAGTAGTGGTGTTGGTAGGTCAAAGGGTATGCATAGTTTTATAGCTCTTTGGACATAGTTCCAAATTGCTCTACAGAATGGTTGAATCAGTTCACAACTCCAGCAGTGTATTAAAGTCTCATTTTTCCCACATCTCCAACATTTGTCATTTACCTTTTCTGTCCTATTAGCCAGTCTAATAAGTATGAGGTAGTACCTCAGAATTGTTTTAATTTGCATTTCTCCAATCACTAGTGAGTTAGTGTTTTTTTCATATGGCTATAGATAGCTTTGATTACTTCATCTGAGAACTCATCACATCTTTTGATCATTTATCAACTGGGGAATGGCTCTTATTTTTGTAAATATGACTTAGTTCTCTGTATGTTTGAGAAATGAGGCCTTTATCAGAGAAACTTGCTTCAAAATTTTTTTTCACAGTTACTCTTGCTAACTGTATTTCCTTCCATCCTATTCCCTCCCATTTATTCTACTCTCTCTCTCCTTTCACTCTGTCCCTCGTCAAAAGTGTTTTGCTTTTGACTACTCCTCCCCTAATCTGCCCTCCCTTCTATCACTCCCCCCCTCCGCCCTATCCCCTTCCCCTCCTACTTTCCTGTGGGGTAACATAGATTTCTATACCCAATTAAGTGTGTATGTTATTCCCTCTTTGAGCCAATTCTGATGAGAGTAAGATTCACTCACTCTCTCTCTCCTCTTCTCTCCTCTTCCCCTCCATTGTAAAAGCTTTTTCTTGCCTCTTTTATGTGAGATAATTTACCCCACTCTGCCTCTCCCTTTCTCTTTCTCCCAACACATTCTTCTCTTACCCCTTAATTGTGTTTTTTAGATATCATCCTTTCATATTCAACATACACCTGTGCCCCCTCTCTCTATATACTCCTAAGTGCCCGAATGATGAGAAAGATCTTATGAGTTACAAATATCCTTTTCCCATGTAGGAATGTTAACAGTTTAACCTTATAAAGTCTCTTATGATTTCCCTTTCCTGTTTACCTTTGGTGATCTTTTCACTCCAGATCTAGTAAACTTTCCACCATACCATGGGGCTGTCTATTGCTTGATTATTCCTCATTCTCAATAAAGTGTTAACATATGGACATAATTTTTGTAAGCTTTATTTGTTCTTTTCCTTTATAATTTTTCTAGTTTTAGAATAACACGTAAAGCTTGGCTATTAATACTAACAAGATTATGCTCTTGCATTTAAAAAAGGAAATAGTACTCTTATTGAATTGCTTATTGCCACAATTGCATGGTATTTAATAGACGTTAACTTGTATTTAATTTAATGGAAGTTGCAAAGATTTCTTTTTTTAAAAAAATTGGTTTTTGTACTTCAGACTTGTCAAAACATTTAGTACAGAATTACAGTGATGTAGAAGAACTAATGGATGCAGGAAATATAAATCGAACCACTGCCGCGACAGGGATGAATGATGTTAGCAGCAGGTCTCATGCCATTTTCACCATCAACTTCACTCAGGTAAAGAGAACTAAGGGCCCTTCAATCAGCAAATGCACTTCCCAAATGCCTGATGTCTAGTTCTTGATGAGCAACATTTGAGAACTAATTATTATTGTTACCCAGATCAAGAGACAGGGAAAGGTGGCTGAATATTGTTTTTTATTTTTTTTTTAAGAATGGAGTGTGTGATAGTTGCAGTTTCTCTGGAGTTACAGTTAGAGTAGTTTGAAGTGTCTTGAGATATACCCTTAAGAACTACTTAGCAGACTTCTGTTCTATACTAGACTTAAAAACTTGTTCATATGCTTAATTAAGCAAAAGTTTTCATTCTTGTAAACTCTGTGGGAGATGAAAGATTGTGAATCAAGTCAGCTGGAAACCAAGGTGAATAATTGTGTCAAGGTCCATTATCACCCCATGGATTTCCCCCAACAAACTCGATTATGATTGTTAGAATTATATGAAAGGAGAAATGAACATTTATAAGTACTAATGCAAAAAATTAATTTTAATCAAAAGTCAAGTGTTGAATATATATGGAAGTTCTTGCAATTAAAATTCAGTTTAATACTTAGACCAGCAAAGCAGACTCATACCTGAAGGAGCTACTGGGATTTCTTAGGAGTGGATAGTTCTTCCATTCATGTAGATCACATCTCAACTCTGCCATAGTAGATGATCTTAATGAGGTGAGATGCTAAATATATTTATCAGCTGGTGGTGATAAGCCTTGGCTGGTCTTTTGATGATAGTTATACAGTTTTTCACCAGGGCCAGCCTCAAACCTCTTCTTAGGTAGATGTGGGTAAGACCTGCCAATTTATACTCCACTGGCATAGCTTTTTATTAGCAAGGACTCATCTATACACTCTGAGGCATTCGGTATAGGACTTTAGTGGAGGATAGAGCAGATATTTTTCAAAAGTCCAAGGTGTTCAGAGAGAAAAACTGGGATCTAACATTTAAGTGTTTAGAGAGGTATCATGGTATAATGGGAAGACTTTTGGACTTGGAGTCAGCAGAGAACTGGATTCAAATCTCACCTCTGACACTTACTAGCTGTTAGCCTCAGTTTTTTCAATCTGGAAATATTGATAATATTTAAAATTTAAAAATTAATAATGCCCATAGTGCCTTATAGGGTTGTTGTAAGGATCAAATGAGATAAAACATGTAAAGTACATGGAAACCTTAAGAACTTTTATAAAGTCAGTTAAGTGGAAATAATCAATGGAGGAATCTGACCTCACCCCCATAGTAAAACACTATTTTAACCAGTGATCTTTATGTTTTAGTTCTAGTTTGGGGGAAGAAAATCCTTAGCTACATGTGGTAAGGCATACTTGTGGGTAGGCTGAGGCTGGGTGGATCACTTGGCTTTGGGAATTTGAGCTAAAGCTGATTAGGTGTCTACACTAAGTCTAGCATCAATTTGTTGAGCCCCTGGTAGCAGAGGACCACCAGGCTGGCTAAGGAGGGTTGATCTAGCCCAGGTAGGAAAAAATGGAGCAGGTCAAAGTTTTTCTGCCCATCAGCAGTGGGGTCTGGCCTTGAGTAACTGCTATACTTTTAGTCTGTTCAAGATAGGAAGACCCAGTCTCAAAAAAAATTTGCTTGAATACTTCAGAACTCAAAGGAAATGAAAAATTCTCTCATGTACAGTTAAATTCAGTGGCATTTTTATCAGATGAGGTCTTAGGTCCTCATTCTTTGATTTGATGTACTGTGAGACATATTTGCGTCTATCTACCCAGTGCCTCGTTGTGGTGCCTTGATTTCTAGTTTCAAATAGTTATAAATTCTTTCCCCTTTATTGATTTTATTTCTCTTATTGAGTAAAGAGAACAATAACCATTCATCCTTTTAAGTATTTTTCTTTTTTAATACTTTACAGAGAGACAGTTTGTTCAGGTACAAGTTGGAATAGATGGTTTTTGAAGGTCAGCTTCAACTTTGAGTTTATCCAATACCGTGATTAGTTTCTTAATGCAGTATTTTAGGAATTAGGAAGAATTATTTTTTACCAGGGACCTTGGAAACAGAATTAATTTCAGAGTTAGAAGTACCAATAACATTTTTGTTTGTTTGTTTATTCTTAAAAGTTAGGTGAAAACTTATACAGAAAGAAAGATTTTAGTAGATCTCTGAAGTATGTAAAATGCTGTTTAGAACCTTATGAAATTGAAGCTGGATAATTAATTTCCTCCTGACTGGTGTACATCTTCACCTGGATGTCCTGCTGGCACCTCATGGGGGGCTTCACAGTGTGGTGGAAAGACCTTTGATTCTATGGTCAGAGAACTTGGGATCAAATCCTGCTTCTTACACCTAACTACCTGTGTGACCTCAGGCACGGCATGTCACTATCTTGAGTCTCACATTTTCTATTATGAAAAAGAATAGGTCAGTTTAGAAGGCATCCTCCAAGAGGCTCTGAGCTCAAGCTCTAACTGAGCAGGTGTATTAAATGGTCCACCTCAACATGAATGTTTAATCTATGGATAACAGGCAAATTAGCTTTGAAAATATTTCAGGTTGTCATATTGTACAAAGTTGTATTTGGGGTTATAAAGAGAAGCTGTTGTTGGACAACTAGTATTATTATTATATTGTTTACATATTTTATCTCCCCTACTACATTGGAAGCTCTTTGACTCGCTGAACAGTTTCTCATTCGTCTCTGAACTCCTTATGTAAGTCTCTGAACCCTGCACTAAGTCCTCAATAAAAATTTTCCAAATGAATGAATGAAACTTTGTCTCTTTGAGTAGCATTTTAAGGACATGGCGTATATTGTAACATGACTTCTGATTTCTTACATAGTCAGTATAAAAGATACTTCTCTGACCACAGAATTATAGCTCTTTTCAAATACTGTTTTGTCTCCTATGAGATTTCAGCAGGATATCCAGGGATGTACACCAGTCAAGAGGAAATACATTCATATAGCTTTAATTTTGTAAGGTTTCTAGATACTATTGTATTTAGTTTAGAAGTCAACCAAAGTTTTCACTCTTATCTGAGTTTTAACTTACCTTTTAAGTCTAAGCAAACAAAAAAAAACCCTGGTGTTTCTAATTCTGAATTCCATTTCTAAGGCAAAAACACACACACACACACACACACACACACACACACATTGCCTTAATTCTTAAATCATGTGTGGAGAAACTAATCATAATATTGGACAGTGTCATAGTTGGAACTGACCTTAAAGGCTATCTATTCCAACCTATACTTGAACAAATAACCTCTGTAAAGTTTTAATAGCAAAAGATGTTTAGTTGGGTGAATGGTTACTTTTGTCTCCCTTCACTAAAGGACATAAAGCCACACCAATTAAGTTGAGGTATTTTGATTGTATTAGATTTAATTTTCAGTTTCATAGCATGAAGGGCAATAAAACAAACCAAAAACCAAACAACAAACAAATCCCCAAACCAAAGCCTGCGAAACCACGGGGAGAAGTGTGAAATAATTAAAATTTGTTTCATGAACATCATCAGAGATCCATGTACCTTTTCATTTTTGTTCATGTATTTTACTTAAGGCAAAATTTGATTCCGAAATGCCGTGTGAAACTGTGAGCAAGATCCACTTGGTTGATCTGGCGGGGAGTGAGAGAGCAGATGCCACGGGCGCTACTGGGGTGCGATTGAAGGAAGGAGGGAACATTAACAAATCCCTCGTTACTCTGGGAAATGTCATTTCTGCCTTAGGTAAGTCGCAGTGTTGCTCTTGGCTTCGTTCTATATCTCTTCCTACGTTGTTACCATGATGCAATTAAGCTTAGTGTTTTTGTTGTAGAGTAATAACTTAAAGCTCTTTTGAACCAGAATTAAAGGGAAAAAAAAAGCCTTCATAAGCCTGTTTTTTTCCCTACAGCTGATTTATCTCAGGATGCTGCAAACCCTCTTGTAAAGAAGAAGCAAGTATTCGTGCCTTACCGGGACTCTGTTTTGACTTGGTTGCTAAAAGATAGCCTTGGAGGAAACTCTAAAACTATCATGATTGCCAGTAAGAGTTTTAATTCTTTCTCCAGCATATGTTGTACCTTGTGAGAAACAGTTATATGTATTTAGGCTTAATGTTCCTTGTTAGGAATTCACACTATTTACACCTTTTTCAATTAATAGTTTTTCTTTCTGCCTTAAAGCATATCAGCTAATGTGGCTCGTGTCCTATGTGCATTAACAACCACAACATTATTAAATCATTGAGCCCGTGCCTATTACTTGATTATAAAAACCAAAGTAATGGTGTGGCAGGCAGATACCTAGGTTTTATTTTTGCTTAAAAGAGGGATGGGGAATTTTTTTTTCTTATTGGGGGTTACCAACCTACATAATAAGAATAAATATGCACTTGTATAATGCTTTATAATCCATAAGGAAAAAAATGAAAGGCCACAGGAATAAAAGTAAATGGATTTTCTGTTATAGATTAAAATATTAAAATTAAAAATAAACATTAATAAATAGAACTTGATTCAATTAAGATTATGTCCAATTCCTCCACTCTTCAGTACGTATCCAGGCAATCACCTCTGCTTTGGCTACACTTCTCTTCCTTTTCAATCTCGAATCCTTTGGTGAACTAGTTCAGCTCCATATTATCTTTCATTCTTTCTCTTTTTTCTTTCTCAAATTTTATTCAACATGAAACAGATCTCTACAATTTTCCCTGGGAAAGTTGACTATATCCATGTTGAAATACACCTCTGAACTGGAATTCTGTTGCTGACCTCTAGCTTCCAGGGGAGCAGCTTTGCCTCAGATAAGCCAGACAGTCTGTTCAGTCTGCAGGCTGTTGGGCCTCGGCTTGCTTGCCTGAGGAAAATGTAGTAATACAACCCCAGTGAGCAGGTGAAGCTCATGTCCTTATTGGCAAGAATAACAGTAGAAATGTCTCCATGCTTAACATAGCCATGACACTTCAAAGGCAGTGTGGTCGTCAGGACACAGAGTTTGAGCACCTTTTTGTCTGCCAGCTCAGGGTGCCTTGGCATGTGGACGTATTTCTTAGCTATCATTACTCTCTACTCAGAAAAGTTGGTGGGTGGCAATTCAGTTCTTCGACATCAACCTTCTGCCAGAGGCTGCTGTCCTGCCATGATTCCATATACCCTTGAGTCCTTTGCTTCCTTGTTCTATTGCTGATCATGTCTTGCCATTCCCCAACTTTGGATTACTCCCGCCATTTCCTGTTTACCAAATACAACTGGAGCACATCACAAGACTTTATTGCCTTTTGAGTCTCCTATAAATGTATATTACCTCATCTTAACTGGACCCTGTAACTGGAAGGCATTTGTCTACTCCTCCCTAACTGACTTTTCTTTTCTGACTTACCACAGTGGCTAACACAAAACCTTTGCTTCTTTCAGATCTCCCATAACATCTCCCCCTTACCTTCTCAGTTGTGGATCTTGCCTCATACTTCCTTGAGAAAATTGAGCGCAGTTGAGATGAACCCCATCTTTTCCCTTTCTCCTTATCTGATTTTATTCCCCATATCTTCTCCTTTATTACAGTCTTTGATGATATGTTCCTTCCTCTTTCCAAAGCCAACGCCACTCCATATAATCTTGTCCCCATATCCTTCAATCTTCTCTAGATGATTGCCCTCAAATTTCTTCCTATTTGCTTCTTCCCTGAAGCCTTTGACATGCTGAAACCTCTCTTTCCATCCTTACAAAAGCCTTATCAGCTCCTTCTGTCCCTACTAGCTATCCTGCTGTGCCTTTCCTCCTGTTCTTAGTTAAAATCTTTGAAAAAGCCATCTGGATTCAGGCAATCCATTTTGTCTCCTCAATATCTTCTAGGCCCTCTGAAATCTGGCTTCCAGCCTCAAAAATGTTCTCACAAACGTTACCAATAATTTTCCTAAAAAACAAATTTAATGGCTTTTTTTCTTTTTTTCATTTCTCATCTTTCTTGACCTTTCTTCATCCTTTGACACTGTGGATCACTTCTCCTGAATATTCTCTTCTCTGGGTTTTCATGACTGACCTCTCCTGGTTCCTCCAGTACTTCTCACTGTTCCATCTCAGTCTCTGTAGTATCTTCATTGATGTCATCTCTGTTAACCATGCGTAACCCCTATGTCTATGTCTTGGGACCTCTGCTCTTTTTTTTCTATTGTGTTTCACTGAGTGATCTCAGTGCCATTGAATTCAATGATTATCTCACATTTGTGTAAGGATTTAGTTCATGAACATTTTCCTTACTATCACAACTGTATGAGGTGGGTGGCACAAATATTAATATTCCTCTTTTACATATGAAGTTTAGCAGATTTGTTCTTGGTCAAATGGCTGCTAAGGGGGAGAACATTTTCTGTAATCCCAGTAATCTGACTCCCTAGTGCAGTGCTCTTCTCATTACACCGTGGTGACTATAGTTGTGAAAACGCTATAAAGTGCTGAGTAAAAAAATCTAATTAATTAATTTGCTAATTTTAAAAAAGATTTCAAAGACAATTTCAAAGATAAAGAAATTGTTTAAAATTGCTAGGATTGTTTTTAAAAAGTGTATTTTTTTTCTGCTTAAAATTTGGAGGTACAGGTCCTAGAATCATCAAATTCTAGAGCTTAGCAATTGTTTTTTTCCTTCATTTTGTAGATGAGGAAACAGTACCAGAGAAGTTGAGAGATTTGCTTAAGCTCCCATCTAGTTGATGGCAGACTTAACCATCAACTAAGCTGGGTTTTCTGAGTCAGTCCAGTACCCTTTCCTTAGCACCATATCACCATTCTTGAAATCTTTTTCTAGTTTTAAAACAGATAACACCCCACATTTATGTCCTAGAAAGTGAGGGATATTATTCAGTTAAGTATTTGAAAGAGGAAAAATGTGTTGTTACCATCCATTTTTGTAGCCTCTTGTATATACAGTATCACTAAAGGCCTCTTGATATTTGTCATAGAATGCCTGGAGGAAGGAAAGGGAAAGACTAAGTCTAATGTCTGATTTGTGAGTTCTTCTCCACTGGTGGGGGAAAGGATAATGCTAAATTGTCTAGCCTATACACAGAACATGGCAAATGTTTTGTGACTATTTTAAGTATGAGGGAAACTTTGCTGCATTTGAACATTTTCTAATTTTCATCTTGATTGATGAAAGGGAACATGTTTTCTCATTTTTCTTGATAATATCTTGAATAAATCAGTAAATATTTAGTGAAGTATCATTCTGTTTTCCTCATGTGTTAGATTGTCATAAAAAACTTCCTGTGCCATACGTTTTCCCCCACAATGTTACAAGCTGCTTCTAAATTCTCCAAGTTAGTTTCATGTTAGTCTGAGTATCCCAGATAGTCCCTTCCTTAGGTTTTTCTTTGGTATCCCATCTTAGCTCCACTGAGCTTGAGAATAGGAATTCCTGAGTCTAAGGTCAGTGAAGCTCTTCTTATTTATGTCCCTTTTTGTGCTTGTTGGGAAACATTACTGCTTCACTTTTATTATTTATATACCCATTGATTAGATGATGGTGGATGTATCTTCAGCCTCAGAATACTATGATATGGCAAAATGTTTTATGAGAATCTGTTTTTTAAAAAGTGTTTCATTTTAATGTGCAAAAGACTCTAAAAACTTTTTCCTCTTATGGCTAAGGAATAAAATATGATTAAAACTTTAATTTTCCTAAATTATGATTATCTTTAGCTTTAGTGAATCTTCTTTTTTTAAATGAACAAACAACTTCACCCCATTTTTATAATCATCATTTGTATACCTGCTCTGAGGAAAGTCTATAAACTTATATTGAAGAGATATTTTCCCAAAGGAACCAAATTAATTATCCATTAGCATTAATATAAATTTTTCTAAAATTTTGTTTGTTAGTAATTGTTTTATTCAGCATGGATCAGTTCTTATTCATCTCCATCTACACTGGTAAGAACTCATAATTTTCTTCCATATACTATCAAAAAAATTTTGAAATATAATTTCATTTAAAAAGAATAGCAACAACAAAAAACAATTAGCAAAGAAAATGGAAAAAGAGGCAATAACGTGATTGGAATGGTAGAGAAAGACGTGGTTCCTAGTTGGTATGATGATTTCTGTTTTTCATCACTAAGGATAGCAGTCAGCAGCTAGCTTTGAGTTTTGAAGTTAGATATTCATGTACACAGTCATCTTCAGAATAGATTTTAGCAAATATTAAAGGAAAAACTTTCTGAAGTTGTTTCAAGGTCTGGTGTAAAGAACTCTGAATTGTGAATTAGAGGACTCAGCTTTTAGTCTTGATACCAGCTCTGACACTAACTAGCTATTTAGCTTTGGGCAAATTGTTTAGCTTTTCTGGGCCTCAGTTTCTTCATCTATAACATGACAAGATGATCTCCAGGTTCCTGTCTAGCTATAAAATTCTATAATTTAAAGTGGGTTGCCCTTGCTGTAATTTGCTTGTTCATCTGTCAGAGATCGGTGAAGCTAGTTAGTTTAATGGGGACATTGAAAAGTTACCTGCTTTCTAACAAACCTATATTTAAACTGTCATAGATGAAGAAGCAATTTTATAAGGTCAATGGAACAGGAGATACCCAGCCTTCCTTAGCACCTGTTTCTACTATTTAAAATCCTTCATTGCCAGAAAAATCTTCTTTATCAAACCTAATTATCTTATGTGGCAGTCTGAGCCCATTTCTTTTGTTTTGTCTTTGGTGGCTTTTCTAGGTTTTCCTTCTGGAACCTTGGCAATCCTTCTTTTTTGAACAGAATCTTTTTACTTTAGAATGTTTACAATGCTGTAAGCAGTTACAATGCTGTAAGCAGTAAGATAGACTCTTTACTCATGAGTTAACGTTAATTAGAATGTTTTTATTTTATACACTGAAATGAAACTTTGGTACAAATGTTATTTCAACAAAACTTACATAGGCTCACATTACAACCCAAACTGCAGCTAGACTGGCGTAACTAGGACTTTATTCCCTTGGCACTGAGATTTAGATGATGCCAACAGAACTTATGCTCTTTCAAGAAGTAGTAACAAATGGGCTTACCATACCTATTTAGCACGACTAATTAGTTAGAATGGAAAGCTACCAGAGGGCATGCTTCCTGCATCCTGCCATGCCTGGTGGATTTCTTCCTGGCCCACTCATTCTGTTCTTTCCCTATAGCAGTAGCCTCACTAGCAATAGCTTTGTGTTGTTCCCATGGGGCCTAGTGGATTGCAGTCTTTGTCTCCTTCCCAAGATCCTGGACTCTTTCCCCCCATAGGAACTTATATCTTGAGGCCTAAAATATCTTTGGGGTATCTTTCCTTTGCCTCTCCTAGATAATTAGCAATCTTAGGAATCAAGAAGTACAATTATATCTGTGTCGATATATGTGTATGTATACATATACTTTGTGATCCCAAATAGGGTTTTCTTGGCAAAGATACTGGAGTGGTTTGCCATTTCCTTCTCCAGCTAATTTTACAGATGAGGAAACTAAGGCAAACAGAGTTAAGTGACGTGCCTAGGGTCACATAGCCAATAAGTTTCTGAGGCCAGATTTGAATTCAAGAAGATCTCTCACACACACACACACACACACACACACACACACACACACACGTTTGTGTGTGTATGTACATGTATGCACATTCATGTATATACATGTATGTGCACACAGATACACACCAATTTATGTGCATGTATACTGATTTATAGATACATGTACCACTTTATATACATTTATATATACACGTACACTTACACATATATATATAGTTGTATAATTTGCTTCTTGATTGCTAGGATCGCTAGTTATGACTGATTACTGTTCCTAGAAACATTCTTACTAGAACTATTGAAAACAATATTGTTTTCAGAAAATGCCAGTTTAGTTCACTGTTTTTTGGTTAAATTATTCTACTTTTGATATTGTCATATAATACTAGGGGTAGTAGTGAAGTAGTTGTAAGAAGCATGGTGTACTACTATGAAGAACACTGTATTTAGATTCATAAGACCTGCATTCAAATCCTGATTCTGCTGTTTATTTCCTGGATCATTAAGTCACTTAAACCATTCCAGGCTTTAATTTTCTCATCTGTAAAATGAAGGAATTTGCTAGATGATATCTAAGAGCCATTTCAGCTCTTAACTCGATAGACATATAAATTGAGAAAAACAGTTTCATGGAGACTAGGTTCAGTGTAACTAACACTTGAGAATTGAGAGATAGGTCAGTTGTAATTTCAGTCTGAAAGAAGTATGCCCAGTGTTTTGGAAGTTTTTTTTTTTATATTGAAATATATTCCTTCTTTTACTTTAAAAGAGTAGGAATGTTCTCTTTCTATGGTACCAAATCAGAGGCCTCTGGATCTTATCTATTACCTCTATGTACTTCATGTATTTTAAAAGAATTTCTCTTGAATATGTTCCCATCTACATATGGTAGACTCTTATAAAATACCCTACATTTAGGGCCAGCCATTGGAAATTCTCAAATTTGGCTATCCATTTTCTACTTTACTTTTCCTTTTATAGTGTTTTGCTAAAGTGAAGGGAATTTGCTAATGAAACTCCTTGAACTTTCTTGTTCCTACATTTTTTGTTTTTTTATTTTGCAAAGTTTTGCAAAAGCTTCTAAAGCTGTGTGTTCTTTGGAGCAATTCTCAGATGTTTTAGGACAGAGTCACACCAAATCTCCTCTTTGGTGTTTTGTAAATGATTGTGACAACTATATGAATGGAAAAAAAACCAAAAAGTATATTTCCTTTTTTGTTTGATGGAAAAACAGAGCAAGAAGACCCTGCCCCATCCGGATACACAGGATCCATGTTCCTTTATTGAGAAACTGACCATAACCAGGTCTCATTCTTTTAACTTCATGTTTTCCCCTTGGGTCATATTCCACATTGGAGTTTATTATTGAAGAATATAATGATAATGCTTTTCTATTCATTTAAGAGAAATGACTCACTAGGTCCTTTTTCTATGAGTATTAATTTCAGATAAAAAATATCTTGATCATTGAGTGTTTAATTGTAGAATTGAGTCAAGCTAACTGGAATTTAATTTGCTAGTGAACACTCTCATAAATCTTAGATAATTTTTAATATTCATTACTAGAGCAGTGAATATTTAAGTCTACCCAACAACCTGAGGTTAATCTGACTTTTAGATTATGAACCAAGTTTGTATTAAATGAAACTCAGTGCTGGATAAATAATTTTTGAATTCATTCTTCACAGCTATTTCACCTGCCGATGTCAATTATGGAGAAACCCTAAGTACTCTTCGATATGCAAATAGAGCCAAAAACATCATCAACAAGCCTACCATTAATGAGGATCCTAACGTCAAACTCATTCGTGAGCTTCGAGCCGAAATAGCCAGACTAAAAACTCTGCTTGCTCAAGGGAATCAGGTTAGGTTTCTCTGAGATTTTATGAATAATTTTCTTTGACTAATAGCATCTATTTTCGGATCTTAATGAGATAATTATTTCACTCATTATATTGATTTGAGTAAATAAGTGCTAACTGAAGCTATGAATGAATAAACTGATTCTCCCCTCCCCTTCCTTACCTTAAGTTCCAATTGGCTTTTGCAGAAAAAATTTATCAGCTAAAGTTGATATGATTGATAATCTAATAGACATAAATTTTGAATCAATTTTCATTGGGCCGTTCAACAAAATACACCAGACTCTTGATTTATGGTTAAGTATCTTTGTGTTTAGTTTGATACTTCATTATTTTCAAATTATAAAACAGTTTTAAGATAATGAAAAGTTTGTAAAATGTCATTATGATGCAGAAATTCATAAAATTTAATAGTATTTGTTCTATTTTAAATGTTGCCATAATATGACTTCCTGTAGCATCACAATAATCTGTTATTGAATGCATACGTTTTAAGTGAAACTGTCTTATTTCCAGGGCCTCTTGATGCTCAGGTAACTCAGCACTTTGGATGAGCTCCATCACAAATTTGCCTTATTCAGAATTTGACTCCACATAGCTTCTGCCAGCGGTCTGTAGCATGAGAGTGTAAATCTGTTGTTCTAGGAATAAAAACTCTGCTTAGTTACAGTATAAAGCTGCTTTTGCAGGAAATCTAAAATAAAATTTTTTGAAAGTTGACTTTAGAACAGTCAGAAATAAAACTCTTCTGCTCCACATTCTTAGGCAGCAAAATATACTATGCATCCTCCCCCACCTCAAACATGATTATTAATATATCTTATATAATTATCTCTAAACTTAAAAATAGTTTACTGATCATGCTGTCTTATAAAGTTATGGTCAAGTTACTTGTGATTTCTGATAATCTTGGAAGTAGTCAGTTAGCTCATAGTAACTTTGCACTAAGGCCACATGGGAAGCAGGATAAAAGCTTGAACTGAGTTTTGAAGTTTCCTGAGCCGTGCAGTGTGTTCACATTTCTTCCCTTCAGGATGCCCAACAACCGTTGGATAAGAATGATTCATTGTGGTGAATATTTGTTCTATGTTCCAAACATATTTTCTCTTTTGGAAGCTTCCATTTGTGGAATGGAACACATTAGAATGGGGGATAAATTTCTCATGCAGGGTTTGGGATTGGACTCATTCTCTTACTGTCCATGAACTTGAACTTGTACGGTCATTTAGATGGGAGATCCATGACAAACTTGCCTTATGCTGTGTTTTCTAAGCCAAACTATACTGTGGACCAGTACAATATTTAAATTCTCTCCCATGACCTGTTCTTCTTTTGCATTTAATTCAAGGGGTAGAAACTGGGAGCAGACAGGAGCCAAGGTAGATGGAATAGGAGTCAGTGTTAAAAGTATGTATTTTAAGAAATAAGGTCTTTTGCAGTAAAAGTTTGTAAAGCATGCAAAATCTCCCTTGGTTCATAGATAAGTACTAATTTTCAGTACACAGTGAAAAACTGGGGATACATAAGCTTTTCAAAATGATGATTTGATAAGAACAAAATTTTGTACTTGTACCAAAAATGCTGATGAAATTCTCAAGCAACCTTGTACACTAAACTTTGTTAGATTGCTGAATTGCTAATTAATTTATGGAATTATGAAATAGGGCAGGCACACCCTTTCCCGATGTTGTCGAGAAAGAGCATGATGGTTTCAGTCATATTTTAATAACACACAGAGGGTGCAGGGATAAATGGCACAGAAAATACAGAGACAAATGGTATGGTATGGAGTGGTGGTGGTTACAGAGGCAAATAGTGCGGGGATGGGGATGGAGTGGTGCAAGAAGACAGGCAGTGTGGGGAAGATGAGAAGAAAGGCACAGAGAGTAGCCCATGTAATCAAAGATTAGAATTGGGTGCACTTGGAAGTATAGACTCTTAGGAGTGTTTGGGTGGTAGGAGTTTGGGGATCTCATTTTTATAGGGTATTGGTGAGGGACAGACTATGCCACCTTGGGGAGGTTAGTTCATTAACATATCTAAGTCATCTCAAAGTTGTTTGTAAAACTTTAAAGTTAACATATCCGCATCATCTTGAAGTTGTCAGCACCATTTGGTGATTTGTTGGTGTTACTGTGGTTGTATGGAACTTATCTGAGATTTACATATCATAGGACCAAAAGCTCCTGACAGCAAGGTATAGATGGCTTCCCCTGATTTAGCACATATTCTCAGGATGTGCTTTTTGGTTATTATATGATAGCTTGCAAATTATGCTCTTTTGATCTTTGGAATAATCTGTATATGACTTCACCTTTGCAATCTTACTTTTTGCTATTACTGCTTTATACTGGCTACTTATAAACTTAGTTACTATGCTGACTAGGTATGGTTGTCAGAGGGACAAGAAGAAGATAGAATTTTAACACAATTATGAGCATATGAAACATAATCTTAAAGAATTTGAGTTAAAATTAATGATTTCTGAGAAGGTAGAAAGCCTTAACTTCCACAGTCTTCAAAGGTGGAAAATAAATTATAATGCCCAATTGGAATTCGTCAATTTTTGTTGTTTATTCCACACATACCAATTAGGGGGGAGGGAAGAGAATAAGAAAATAATTAAAATTCAAACTATAACAAATCATCCTTTGTCATGTGTTTATTGGTGAGCACATCTGTTTTTCTGCCATTCTCTATGCTTAAATCACGTTGTGAGTAAAAGGAACCAAACTATAATATTTTGTTCAATCTGGGATCTCATTGGTATGGGTACCCCAATGTAATTCATCTCCTCCTGGACAGGTCATAACCGATCCTTACCATCTTCTCCTGTGCAATCCTGCTCTGAATCCTTTCATAAATCATTAATAGAGGATCTGTGTGATGGCCTGGAAAAAGACTTTTCTCTTATGCCTTTTAAATCTTGGGGAATTCATGAGCAACACTTGAGCCATCTGTCCATTATCTTTCATTTTTAAACATTTTTTATCCATCTCTTGTGCTTTTTATATCACCTTCATTTCCAAATATATGCCTCCTCCCATGGTAAAGATTTAAAAAGGAAAAGGAGGTGAAAATAATTCAGTAAAACCAGCCAATGCATCTACTTGAGTCTGACAGTATATTCAGAACTTTATTAAAGAGAAGAATGCAGAGATATGTATATTACCAACTGTTACTTTTTGAAATGTTCTCAAGTTTAGAGGAAAAATCTGGTAGATTATTGAGAAAAAAACATTTTATTATAAAATTTTACTTTTCTCCTAATTTTTAAACATAATTTTTTGAAAGTTCTACAGGACTCTAAAGTATTGATATTTACTTTGTATTTCCTGGGATGAGAATCCCTTAAATTTTATGATGTTTTTAATATAATAGTTATTATTTTGCTTCATTTTATAGTGAATTAGGAAGAAAAGTAGTCATTTTTGTTTGTATCACTACTTATGCTAATTTAAAATATGAAAATCCTTTTGATTATTTTCTCTCAAAACAATATCTACCATGACAGTTTATAAATATATACATATGCACATAGTCTTTATTTAGACATTTTCCAGATTTGCAAACTGAAGATTACTTAGCTTTTGAATAACCTACAATACAAATTGGTGCTGAAATACAAGTGATTAGATTTGTATCACAGTTTTTCCAATATAGGCTACAATTGTTACACTAGCCACTAGATCCTAGAATTTAGGAAAAACAGTACCAGAAAGTAGTATTTCATTTAGCAAAAATCAGACACTTCCTTTTTTCAGACTTCAGTAGATCTCTAATCTCATTGATATGGACATTCCTTCTAGTCATGTAGATCTAAACTCTTTTGTGTTTGCTCATCTCTATCTATGTCCTTCCCGAAATCCATAACAAAGGGGCCCAACCGACATGCTAGGGGGTAAGGTAGAGTCCCCTAGATCTCTTGATGATAATTTCATACCAGTAGAAGAGAAGAGCTGCCCATCACTTATCCCTAATACTATTTGATCCTGTGCAACAGATGTAGTACACAAACTTGCAGCCTATTTCATAGGGAGTCTTTTTGGTAACAATAATAACTCACATTTATGTAGGTTTGTAAAGCACTTTATATACATTATTTCATTTTATTTATACACCAACCCTTTTGAACTAGGTGTTCTTACCCTGTTTTACAAATGGGGAGTCTGAGGCACAAGGCAGTTGAGTGACTTTCCTAGGATCAAAATTCTTATTAAGTGTATCAAGTGGAAATTGAACCAAAAGTTTCCTGATTCCAAATGATATGTTTTCTCTGTTATACTTAAACTGTTTTTTATGTTCATCAGTATAATTGATGAGCAAAAAAGAGATGACCAAGTAAGTGTCCCTAGGAAATGATTCTTGTTGTCTTTGGGCACACAGTGAAACCAATGGTACCAATTGCTCTCTACCCCCTCTAAGAGAACCTGTGAACCATCTTTTTATTTAGTTGCATCTTCTTTGTTCAGTTTAATCCAGTTACTGTGAGTGGCAGTAGCATGGTGTAGTGAATAGAGGGCTGGTCTCAGAGAAGAAACACTTGGGTTTGGGTCCTGCCTCTGACACTGGTCAAGTTACTTAACCTTTCCCTGCTCTAGGCCACTGAGCTGTCTCCAGTTTTCCTGATGAATATCTGGTCACTGGACCCAGGTGGCTGTGGAGGAGAAAGTGAGACTGATGACCTTGCACAGCCTTCCTCACCCAAAACAAAGTCAATTGCAAGTCATGGCATCATCTTTTTGATGTCATGGTCCTCTTTAAGAAGGAAAGACAAACACAAGAACGAAATCTAAGCCAAAGGTGTTAACTTGCTACTGCCCACAAAACTCCTTGAGTGCTGCTGAACCAGATTAAAATCTAACTGGTAAATGTTTTTTAAAAAAAATATAGATAAGTTAATTTATGATTTTTTTCTTTTTTAAGTCAATATGGATCCTGTAAGGATTCATTTCTGTTTGAGGTTGATCCTATGGCTTTAGGCTACTCTCTAAGACTCTAA